GACCTTCCCGGGGCCCAGTTGCTTTACCCCCCCACCCCCCCAGGCCTGACGACCAGGCCAGGTGCCGTGCGGTGCGCTCAACTCGAGGGAGCTCCTGGGGTCCGACCCCGGAGGGGCACACCGGCCCCGGGCAGGGATGTGAGTGCTCGCCCGCTCCACTCGGCCAGGGGGCCGAAAGCTCAGCGTGCGCTCGGAGGACAGCGCTGAGGTTGGGACGCGGAGAAGGGTCGGCTCCCGGTGGGCCAGCCAGTTCTCGAAGTCCCGCCTGGGGGGCCTGCAGCGCGGGGCGGAGGGTGGGGAACCCCACCGGAAAGATGAGATTAGAGAGAACCCTGTGGGCGAGGATGGAGGAAACTGACCATTATCTAAAACCTGGAGGTTTCGAAAGCTGGAACTTAATTGACTTGATTGAATTTCGCTCCTTATCTTTGACGGGAAGGAACGCTCCCAAGGTGAAATACCAAGGGCGGAGAATCTCGGTGGGAAAGTTCGAGGGTGGGGCCACAGACCTTTGTAAAGCAAACTAACTACCCCAATCATTTCCTGACCCTCCAAAACCGCTCACGTTTTGATCATTGCGGATGGAGGTGCCCTTGGTACCCAGTATCCTCAATGTCCCGACTAGACTAGGAGTGGTGGTCGCAACTCTGGAGATGGCTTTTAAACCAGTACTTGCTCTCGCCCTCCTTCCCCTCCTTCCGTTGTCTGCGGTCGGTTGGGGGGGCGGGGATGGGGATTCGTTTCTACTTTGCCATCAATTTAAAGGGATTTAACTGCATGGTCTCACTAGAACAAAGTTGTGCATAAGTGATGGGAAAATTCGTTTCAGAGGACGCTCCAGGCTGGTGCTTTCTGATCACCTCCTTTTTTTGTTGCTAAGATTTCAGGAGGGGGCGAAACGTGATGTGTATTTGATGATGTTTGTCATCATGGTTTTTAAAAGCAAGGGCGGTCTTTTCTGAACCTTTAGGGGTATCCTGAAAACGGAGAGCTGGGTCGGCTTGACTGTGGCAGAAGAGCTGGGTGTGGGGGGCGCCGGACCACCAGCCCCAACACCCCAATCTGGGATGCCACCATGCAAGCCTCTCTGCCCCTAATTTCACTTAGGTGTAAACCAGTCGGGTTGAGCTTCATCAGTAGCTGCTGTGAAATCTTGCAGCCAAGTTGCACCCGGAATATTGGGGGTAAACGACTGCATTTCCTTCAGTAGTAAAATAGAAACAATGTACTCAATTAGGTCAGACTGTCGGGCTTAAGGGAGCATGCTGCAGTCAGGGACGGAAAATAGCCCGAAAACAAAAGGGTTCCAACTACTAACCTTCATTTTAAAAATTACAATCAAGAGTCACTTCCTTTTGGTCAAATTGAAGAGCATAAGATGTTTTCAATGCACTGACATATTGCTTGTCTTTTTCGGATTATCCGGTTCACAAAATGCAGGTACAATTGAAAAAGGACCCTCCCCCCACGCCAGCCCCCACCCCCGGCACTTAAAAAAAAACTGACTAGGGTGCCTTATGTTCAACTTCCAAAATTATAGGTTTTAAAACTTTTCTGAAACTCTTTTGTTCAGAAATCACTTCTGCCTGAATTGCTTTCAGATTCTGATTACACTCCCTCTCATGTTTACCTCAGATTTTTTGGAAGTTAAAAAAAAATCCTCTTAATCAAACAAGAGAATGGAAACAAGGAATTCTTGTCATTCTCATTTTCTCTGAGGTACTCCAGTTCTCCCCCTCCCCCTCATTAAAAACACTCAATCTGTGTAAAATCCTACGAAGATAAAGTGCCTAAGAAGTTGTGGGGGTGTGGGGAGGGTAAAGCTAGACCAGGGAGATGGCTGGTGACCAGTAGGTTTGCATTTCAGAGTGCACATCACCAGAAACTTCCTTACCACTGTCATTCAAATCTGCTCCAGCCACAGATCAGCAACGTCATCATACTATTAAAAATAAATAAAGATTGCTCATTTCCTCTCCGTCTTAAGAAACGCGTCTGCAAAGCCAACGGCTGAATGTGGGCTGCTAGGGATTCATAAATAATGGTCTAAAATTCAACTGGACCCGTTTGTTGTGCTAGAACCATTTTAATATAATTATACATATCTGCCAAATCCAAGAAGAAAAGGTTTATGCATATATGACTTTTCCAGTTAACATCTGCAAGCATAAACGACAATGATCTCAGTTTATAGATTCATCGGGGTCAGAGCCATTGACCAATGTCAGTACTGTGAAATTACCAGCAGTAATTTTACAGAGGAAGTAGTGTCCTTTTGCTTCTTCTCTCTCGCTCTCTCCTGGTCCAGAGATACTTTACTGTAAAGTTTCAGTGCAGCTCAACTCCAGCCAAAGGTAATCTTTTTAGATAAGTACTCAGTTGCGCTGAATTTTGCTTATAATTATAACCTATTGAATCACAGAAGAACCCCTGCAGAGGTGGAGTTCAAGGTTGCATACAATAACAGGAGATCACAGTTTTGAAGTCTAGCACAGATTAGAAACCACAGATGTACCATTTATATAAGACACACACTGATTGTCTCTTAAACTACATATTGACTCCTTATGAACATTATTTTTTAAATAAAGTAGTGCATCTAGGACAATCAGTCGCACAATTCACACAGCCCTGAAAAGTTTTTCAGTGCCAACTACCAGTTGGTCATGAAACGTGAATGAGCTTGGGACACTGTCCATTCCTAAGATTCAACCAAGGATTGGCTAACACATTGGAACCCCTCTGCTGAAGAAAGGCTACCCGCGACCTTCCCTCCCTCCCCTCACAACTCAGTTTCATTTGATTTTATTTTTGGTGGTGTTTGGTTGTAGGTGGCTAAAACACTTTGCAAATCAGGAAAACCAATGATCTAAAACTATGACAGAATCTTAAGTAGATTGGTTGGTCCATTTCAGGTTGCTGGTTGAATGACCCCTCTAAGGCCCTTCGTTTTTTCCTTGTCTGCCTCCTGGAACTTTGATCAGAAGATGAGTCTGAGCATCATCCCATCTAACTTTTTTAACCAATGCCTGGCTAAAACTGGAATGTCCAGCCCAGTACTTTATTATTATTATTATTTTTAATCACCCACAAAAAGAGGTTCAATGGATCTTCACAAAACCTGGAATTTCCACGAGGATGTCTGGTCTTTGTAATCCAAGCAGTCAGCATTGAAGTTAAGCTTCCAGGAGGCTGTTTGGTCCTTATAATCCAAGCAATCGGTGGTTGAGTTAAAACCCAGGCTTGAAGCTCCATAGCCCTGGGTGGAGAGAGAAGCTGGAGACTGATTGAGATGGCTGGTGACGGCATTGGTACCCATGGGGCTGAGTGTGGCCCCTGGTCCAGGAAGCTGGTGATGCATAGGGGTCAAATAAGATCCACAGTCCATGCCCCCAAAGTAGGAGGTTGAGCCAGCATATCCTTGACTATAACCTGAAGCCTGAGTATAGGTCATGGGGTAGGACCTCTGCATGCAGGAAGAGGAGGTGGACAAGGGATCTGACAGTGGGGAGATGGAAGCTGGGCTCCAGATAGACACGGGAGCACTGCTGCTGGAAATGGCAGGGACGGAGGTGCTAGAGGGGGGAGTGAACTGGCCACTTGCTCCACTTTCTGAACTCACTTCCCGAGCTGGAGATGTCTTCTTTTTGACAGGCCTCACTTTGTTTTGCCCCCCATTCTGTTGTTGCTGCTGTTGTTGGCGGCACTTGGCTCTTCGGTTCTTAAACCAAACCTTGAAAGGAAAAAACATTTCTTTAATGCGGTTTCAAGAACTCCTTACTCACAAGAGTGGGCTCCCTACACTACACACGGGCAGATGAGCTAAGCAAACACTTTGTAAGCAAGCATATATGCAATGCAATACCTACTCTCTTGCTCTCTCCCCCTCCCTCAGACACAAACATGCATATTCCTGGAAATCTCAGAAAGTTGGGGATGCTTTTAGATAAAGCACTTGACCTTGCTTTATGCCTATCCCAGAACAAAAAGGACCCACATTCTATGGCTAAAAATCCCGACCCCTCCCTTTCCTAGCTTTTGTCATTGGTAGTGCACACATACAAATAGACCAAGGTATAGCTTGGGGTATCCCAGTGGGGTCAAATGCATCTCTGTCCTCTGGAGGGACACCTAAGGGAAGTGTGGGAAAACTCCAACAAGAACAGCTCAGACACATATCGTGTACAGTCCATCTGCCAGGTAGCTGCCACTAATCAGAGTTGGTTCCTTCATCCTACTTTGTGGGTCTCCTGGAAAGACCTCACTTACAAAAGAGGGCTTTTCAAGGAGGAGATGAGCTATCCTCTAGAAGAAGGCCATCAGAAAGTCATTATTTGCTAGAAGCTTCTTCGGGATAAGGGGAATGACCCATGCTCTGCTTTGAACTCAAGGCCAAGCCTCTCTAGTTGTCAAGACTGAGACTGGAGTCTGCCCCGAGGGGAGTTCCACTCAGCACATTGATTCTGTTTCCTGGACTCTGCAGGCTTGTCAACGGAAGCTGCTGTGTACAATTTAAAAGCCTTCTCTGACTCTTGCTTATGTTCTGGAATGAAGGGGATGGCCTTTGGTGTTTGAGGAGGCTGATCAGATAGATGATTATTAACATGTTCAGGGCGGCAGGATTTTAGGTATCCTCTTGAGTGAATCCAAAATCCTGTGTACCGACGATGCCTGTGGTAAATGGTACCATCAAAGGCAATGATCTCAACACCACCAGCCACTCAGAACCATTCACTTTCCTTCGGGTGAGAATGTTGGTTCAAGCTTCCCAAGCACCCACACTTCTCCCACTTTATTTTGGGAAAGCCTTTTCCCCTATGTGTGGCTCTTACTGATGTTTGGCTCTTTCAGGAACATCTCTTAGTCCAGGGGGTCCTGTGTGCTTATGTGGTGTGGGTGCTAAGCATTCTTTCTAGAACTCTCAGAGGGGCCTGTTTTCCAGGCAAATTGGGGTTTGACTGTCCTCTATCCAGCTCATTACAACTCTGAGAGGCAAAGTTTAGGTTTTGAAGGTGGACTGAAGGGAAAAGGTTATTATGTAGATATGCTTTCTACTACCTAGCCAAGAATTCTGCTCAATCCCTAAGAAAAGGGGGGGACGACACACTATTATTATGCTAATTTATTTGATAAGAAAGCCAGCAGTGTTCCTAAGGTCTCACAACCACCAAAGTGAAGTTTGTAAAGTTTGACCTTGAGCAAGTTATTCCCTCTCCCCCCTTGAAAAAGATGTAAACTATCCAGGAGCAAAATTTCTTTCACTCCTAAACGTCTGTGAGGAGAGGATTTCTGCAGAGGGCTAAGAGAAGGGTCCCAATGTTTTTTTGACTACTCCTGAAATCTGCTTTGTTCCAGCAGGACAGCTAAGTCACCACTTAGCTGGGGACCACCCGGGGGAGGCCAGCAGTCCATTACAGGGTGGGTCTGGGGAGGGAAAAGGGGAGGACAGAGGTGGGGGACAGAGAGAAACAAGTACTTCAAAGGCTGGAGGGGAGGATATCGCCAGCCCCGAAAGAGCATTTGGAAAACTGTCAAGGCTTTTTCTGCTCCTCTCCAAGACCCACGTCCCTTCTGGGACCTCAACGTAAATCTCACTTGGAGGGAAGCAGGGAGTGGCCGGGCCGGGAAGGATGGCTTTGTCCAGAGCTACCCTACCTGCACCCTGGACTCCGGCAAGTTGATTTTCAACGCCACCTCCTCCCTCATGAAGATGTCTGGGTACCGGGTCTTGGCAAACAGCGCTTCCAGCACATCCAGCTGCGCCCGGGTGAACGTTGTCCTTTCTCTCCGCTGTTTCCGGGGGGTGGCTGCGGGACAAGAAGCCCAGGGCCCTTTAAGGTGGGAGCAGTTTCTCAGTCACAGGGGTCTCTGCTGTGCTCCAACACCCTCCCATGCTCACCACTTCCCAGCCCCTCCCGGCCCGCGCGGCTCCCCCTGCTCTCCCTGGTGCACGGGGTCCCTCAGCGCACTACCAGCCTAGGGTAGCCCCTACCCCCATTCTGTCTGGATTTCTCTCCAGCCCCAAAGCAAGTAACAGCGCTAGTAAAACGAAATACAACCAATACCCCACAACCCCACCCCCGGCGCCAAAAAATGAGGGGAAACCTTCCAAAGTTAACCCAAAACACCACACGCAAAACAAAACAAAATAAAACCTCCTCGAAATCAAGAGAACCCTGAGACTGGCAGCTGGGATCCACGGAGCGAACCTCAATGCCGCTCCCAGGGTTTTAGGGTTCCCGGGGCCTTTGTTTTTCCGTCTTAAAAATGGGGGCATAATTCAAATTTGTCCTTCTTTGGGGTTTTAAAAAACACAGAATTGGTTGGAAAGGAAAGAGCCTGCGCCCAAAGCCAGTCACACTTGACGGAGGTTACGCCTCCCGAGATTAAAGGTGTGGGGTCTGGGGGGTGGGGAGCAGTGTAAAGTCATCGGGTGTGGAGTTACGGGTAAAACACTTCTTCTCCCAGGAGAATCGGCCGTGGAGATACAGACGGGCTGCTCACTCCAACGACAGGGCAGTAACCTTGCTCACCCTACCCCAATGAGTTCCTCCCATTCGCTCAAATGAATACGGCAAACGATCTTGAGGGGCTACCCCAGCCCCTGCCTCTCCCCGGGTCGGTAAATGCCGGGCGACTCCCAGTGGAGGCTTCGGAGAGAAAACCCAGTGGGGACCACACCGGGCGCTGGGAGGCCGCCATCGCGGCACCGAGGGGTGGGGGCCGCGGAGGGCATCAGATTCCCGCGAGGCCGGCGTAGGGAAAGGTTGGGGGCTCACTTACCGGGATAGCCCACCGAGGGGTGCAGCAAGTCCATGCCCGAAGTGGTCAGACTCAGCCCATTGACTGCGTAAGGCGGTTGCTTAAGATAAGACATCATGCTAAGGTTGTTTGGAGGCGCAAAATCGGCCCAAATCGGGGGACCCAGCCGGAAGGTCTCGCTGAGCCTGGAGTGGATAGATTCAGGGTCCTTGATGGGTGGGTTTGGGGTGGTGGAACTAAGAGTAAGGCAAACAAACAAACAGAAGTGCTGGTTTACTGCGTCCGAGGCAGCAGCTCCCCCACGTTCCACCACTAACTTAAAAAGAGCCCGCGTTAGGCAAGGCAGAGACTTTTGAAGGGCTCGCAGACACCCCCTCCCCAGCTGCTCTGGAACTAGAGAGGATGGAGACCTGATAAACCTGTCTTCCCCACCCCCACCGCAAATTGAAAAAAAAAAAAAAAAGTACCCGAAGAAAGCAATTACAATCAGCCTCCCCCCCCCACCCCAGCACAAACCCCACGCCTTCAAATGCACACACTGCATTCCTATCCCTACATTTGCATAGGACTCATTGGCTGGCACTAGCTAATTGTCTCAAACAAAACTTGATTGGGGCCATTTGCAGAGACAAAGAACTCTTTGGCTAAATAAATAGTGCTGATAACAAAGCCCATTGGTGAGAAACAAAGAAACAATTCAAGAAATCTCCCTCTCCCCAGACTGTTGCCTTTCCACAGCAGAGATTTTAATTATCTTAGCTTTTTACCACTTTCAACTGCTGCGAACCCAAAAATGTCGGTGCCGTTAATGTCGAAAATACCAACTTGTTAATTGACAAACTTGAGAAAACTGCTCACCGCCATTATCCCACATTTGAAGTCATTTCCAGTAATCATTTTCACCTAATTAGTAGTCTGGGTAATTAGATTTTGAGGTAAGTAACAGATTTATTAGGGTTTTGGAGAAACTTGATTATATGTGTCTAAAGAACTAAAGCTAAACAAACAAGTATTTAAGTTTTAATCAACACCCATCAAATATCTAAACACACTACACACACACACAAAGCTTTCAAGATTGGCACAGGCTGGCTAGAAATTCTGAAGTGAAGTTAGAATCCCAATGGCCTGACAGTGACAGGACCCTACATTTGCAAGTGGAAAGGGTGCGCATTTGTCGTGCGAACCAATCCACTTCCATGCTGCTGCCGCTGCTGGGTGGCGGCTGCAGATGCTGCGGGTGGCAAACATTCGGACATTTGGGTCCTCGGAACTGCACCAGCTTCCTGCTAACTGGCTGCCTTTTGCACATTTTCGTTTTGAACCATGAGCAACACAAACACACAAAGTTGCGAAACCAATAAAATCTCTCTCTCCCTTTCCAGTTCAATACAATCCTATAAGAA